GTTCAGTGTATATATATATATATATATATATATATATGTATGTATATATTGTTTTTTTTATAAATTTTAATTTTGGTACATTTTGTACGTGCTTTTGTCATTTTTAAAATTTATCTGCCAAGGAACCATTTCTAATTTTCATTTCAGATTTTTTTTTTTACATTTAAATGATCTAATATCTATATTGTATCTTTTATCGTTTTTTCAGTTACCAAAATGATTATGTATTTGTAGTTAACAATAACAACACATTTACATTTAGTCATTTTGCAGACGCTTTTATCCAAAGCGACTTACAATTGGGGGATACATAAAGCGATTCTTCTTAAAGAGGCAAACAGATACAGGAAGTGCCTGTAATACCAAGTTTCTAGACATTGTTCAAATAAGTTCAAACAACACTGACCTTTAATGAAGGTTCCTTTGCTCTTCTGATCCAGTGACAACCATTTTATGTGGTCTGTGTCGAGGTTGATCCAGTACACTCTCGGCTTCTGCCAGTCGTAGTCAAGTGAAAGGACAAACTGCTTCTCTGACGAAAGCAGGACGTCCAGACTGGAGCTCCTCAGACCCAGCAGGAAGACCTCAGACTGCACAGACACCAGCAGGTACGGCTCACCTGAGACAGGAGCACAACTTTCAACTACAGTCTCAGCTTGTGTAAAGAAAAGGATGGATGTACCTCGAAGTGCATGAGTGTATTAGAAATTGCATTATATTATGAAACTGCATTATAAAGTGCATTATATTGTCTATTCAAGCCATACTTATGATCTGAACACTCATGTGAAATATTCTAGCCCACATATTCTAGCTATTTGGTGTAACGCATTAACATCCGACACTGGTCAATGGTTGTAAAAAATTTTTTTTTAGAAACTTTAAAACCTAAAGTCCTAAACTTGTTAACATGCACTACCATTCAAACATTTGGTGTCTGGAAGACTTTTTTTTTTTAAAACAAATTACTTTTATTTAGCAAGGATACATTCAATTGATTTTAAATGACAGCAAAGGCATTTATAATGTATATTTCACATACATTTCTATTCATCAAAGAATCCTAAAAAAAACTATCACTGTTTCTGCAAAAATATTATGCAACATTGAAAATAATAAGAAATGTTTCTTGAGCAGCAAATCAGCATATTAGACTGATTTCTGAAGGATCATGTGACACTGAAGACTGGAGTTATGATGCTGAAAATCCAGATTTGATCACAGGAATAAATTACAATTTAAAATGTATTACAATAAAAAACAGTTGTTTTAAATTGTAATAATATTTCACAATATTACTGTTTTTACTGTATTTATTTTTTTGTTTTTACCCAAATAAATGCAGCTTTGGTAAGAGACGCCTTTCAAAATATTTAAAAAATCTAACCACCCCAAAACTTTTGAACTGTAGTGTATGTTAATATTATAAGTCAAACTTTATACGACTGGTAGTTTTTAATATTCAAAGCAGACATTTTATAACATTAAAACAGAAAGAGGAAATCATACCGTGCCTGTAGGTGTGCTATGGCAGTCCTGTGCACACTTTGACTGTTCAGAGCATTTGTCTGTCTGGCACGTCCCGCCCTCATCAGAACCGTACAGACAGTTAGTGACTCCGTTACAGAGCTGAGACGTGTCCACACACTCCAAACTACCACACTGGAACAGATGAGGAGGACAGGACACACTCTGACCTGTCAAAACACAGACCAGAGGCTCATTTACTGCAGATCAGATCAGATACAGACATAGGTAATCTTGGTGAAACGATGATTACAGTTAAAATCCCATTTAAATTGTTAAAAAAAATATATATTTTTTTTCAATTTCAAGTAAAATATGGAAATTGTCCAATGGTGTGACTCATTAAATATCCTGTTTGAGAAATGCGTCATATTACAGAAGAGCATCCGTGTGTTGATTATAACTTTCAAGCTTAAAAAAAATGGGATTTTGGGATTCTGATTAGCTATACTTTTCAAGAATCCACATTTAGAAATGGATTTTGTGAGTCACTCTACAGGAATAATTGGTGGAATACAGAAAAGCATCAAAATGAACAATGTGGACAGAAATGCTACTTGCACATATAAACATTATCCAGTTGGGGTTTTCAAAAGTGATTGATGATTATTTTTGATATCATTCAAAAATTGGGGGTCAGTAAAAAAAAAAAAAAATTCTAGTCAACATGGATTCATTAAATGGATCAAAAGTGACAAAACCTTACATTTAAAAAAAAAAATCCATTTAAAATAAATGCTGCTCTTTTGAACTTTCTACTAATCAAAGAATCCTGTATCATGGTTTTCACAAAATTATTGATAATAATAATAATAATAATAATAATGGTTTCCAATCAGAATATTAGAATGATTTCTGAAGGATCATGTGACACTGAAGACTGGAGTAATGATGCTGAATATTCAGCTTTGCATCACAGGAATACATTACATTTTAATATACATTCACAGTTCTTTTACGTTAAAATATTTCATAATATTACTGTTTTAATTGCATTTCTGATCACATAAATGCAGCCTTTCAAAAACATTTAAAAAATCGTACCAACCCCAAATTTTGAATGGTAGATTTCCTTAATTTTAGTCTATACAAATGTCCCGCCAATTATTCCTGTGGAGTGACTCACAAAAGCCATTTCTAAATGGGGATTCTTGAAAAGTGTTGCTAATCAGAACCCCAAACGCATTTTTTAAAAAGTTAAAAAGTTATAATAAACACAAAACACTTTTTACTTCTGTCATATGACGCATTTATGCAGAGCCGATCGGCCCTATACGCTCACTACGCAAGTTGCGTAGGGCCCCCGTAAATTACACAAGGCCCCGCCTCCCCCTCGTGTCAAAGCAGCGCGGCACTTTCAATCTGCTGCAGAGACGAGGAAAAATAGGAAAGAAAGTGAGCAAGATAAGGGTAAGTGATAGATTTTATAAAGCTGATGTTGAAATGGTGGCTGCTGCAATGTGATTTGTCGATTTAATTCGGCATTTCATGATAGCTTTGAAGGCGTGAAACAACAAGTCATGCACGGTGTTATCGTGGGCAATTCAAAAGACCAGAATAATTCGAGATACCTTATTATCCGAATTGTTTAGATTTTTAGAACATATATTACACTGTAAAAAAAATTCTGTAAAATTTACGGTAAAAAACCGGCAGCTGTGGTTGCCGGAATTTTACTGTAAAAAATATGGTAGCAACGTTTTAGGTTTTACGGTTTTAACTTAAATTTACAGTTAAATACCGTCATTTCATTAACTGATATAATGTTAATATACCAACCTATTGAAGTACTGAAATCTGTTTTGTACCTTTGTAATACACTGATAACCACCAAATGCAGGTGGTGATGAGAAAGTCACATGATGAACCAAAGCCCATCACAAGCAGCTTTTAAATAATAACATATGTTAAAGGTGTTTTTTTTGTAAATGCACAGTGTCATTCACACAAACACCATCATGGTAACACACATGAAACTGAAATAATGCAATAAACATTCCTTTAACAACATTAGGTGTAACACACAACCCTAATATACAAAACTGATAAGAAAAAACTAAGAAACATAGTTATTTCAACAAAAAAAACATCAAATTTGAAATGTAACGCAGGGAATTCTGGGAATGTCAATTTACGGTTATTCACTGGTCTTTTTCACTTCCAAAAATGGTATACTACCGTAAAATTAATGTCCAATACATGTAATGTCCAATACAGTTTTTCACCGTATATAGTAGGGGAATTTACCGTTAGCCATTTAACAGGTTTTTACTGTAGCATTTTTACAGTCTTTTACCGTTATATTCACGGTCATTTTTTTACAGTGTAGCTTATGTATATATTTATATTAGCGACCAGTTAAACTAAATTTGGTCTGATTTTCACATTGATCTGGGGGAGAAAAAAAAACGCAGATGGGCTGAATAAAAATGCAAGCTCATTTTCTGACAGGAGGTGGCGCTGAACCGCAGAAATACAGAGGCAGTCAAAACAGCATTTACATGCTTGTTTGCACATATATATTTTTGCATTTTAAGCTGGACTAAAACAAGCCAATCTAGAATGCTCATAATCTTATTATGAGCAATAATAATTAATAATAATAATTTACATAATACTAATTTTCATAACCCATTGGCAGGTGTTTTTGCTTTATTAAAGCATTAATCTTAAATTTTTATATATTTCTCTGAAAGTAATGGTCAAACATTTAAAATGTAACATTTTTTTTGTATAAAATATGAAATATAGGCTTATCTTTTTTCCATTGGGAATTGTCTTTATATCTTTATGAAAAAAGTTTGTATGACAGGTGGTTGGAGAATTGAAGAAAGTAAATAGGGTCAATTCTGATTTCATGTTGACTTTAAAATAATTTCTAATGTTTAATGAAGATGAACTTTCATTGGGGTCTTATCTGGGTCCAGCCTGTTCCAGTTTGACAAAACTGTATTAACTCACAACCAGATTCATCGCTTCCATCTCTGCAGTGCTCTTCAGTGCCATCACAGCGCCAGGCTTGTGGAATACACTGCGTGTTAGAGGCGCATGGCCACTGAAACTCACCACACTGCACTGTAGACTCCTTACAGTTCTGTCTCACATGGAAAAGGTGGTCAGCTGAGATTAGAACAACTAAATTAATTATTTTATAATGCATAATGTAGTGCTTTTGGTCATTTAATGCACAGATTCCCCAGCACACCTTCTCATCTGTGCCATCCTTGCAGTCCATCTCTCCGTCACATATCCACTCATCCAGCAGACACTCCTGGCTCTTCGGACAGCGGCGTTGTGTGCTGCATGGTGGAGGTTCGGCGCAGTCCTCCTCGTCTGAATGATCTCTGCAGTCCGGGGGTCCATCACAGCGCATACTGACCGACACGCACTGACCGCTGCTGCACCGCCACTCGGCACTGCTGCAACTCTCCTCTCCTACAGGACAGGACGTGTCATTTCATTATGATTTCATCATTTCATTATGAAGAAAAGGAATGTGATTTTTACTTCCATAACCTTGCTGTTGCACTCTATTGTAAAGCTGATCTCAGATGTGTAGAAACATTATGCATAATGGACCACTATTATTTTATTATTATTTATATGCTAAAATAGTGTTTATTAACATTTTGAATTAGAATTTAATATATATTTCCAGTTTTAATTTTAGTCATTTTTATGTGCTTTTGCTTTTTTTATTAGTTTTTTAAAATTTGTTTTTAATTGTTATTTCTGTTTTAGTAATTTGAATATTTCATTCCAATTAGTTGCTAAGGTAACATTTCTAATTTTATTTTTTATTTTTTTTATTTAAAATTAATTTTATTTATGCTGTAATTCAGTTTATGAGAATGATGAGAATAGTTTCAGTTAACAATAACAACAATGTGATGGACAAAAACCAACCCCAAAAATATAATATATAAATATTATATTTTCCATTTTAATTCAAATTTATATTTTAGTAACCTTATTATGTGGTTTTGTTTTTATAATCTTTTTAATTTCAGTTTTATTAATTAAATAATTTTATTTCATTTACCGGTAGTTGCCATGGACGTCATTTTTGTTATTTATCATTTTTATCATTTTTTTTGTAAGTTTTTATTTCAGGTTTGGTAATTTAAACATTTAATTAGTTAGTTGCCAATATTTTAAAATTTAATTTAAGCCCCCCCCCCCCCTTTTTTCCATGTAATATTTATATTTCAGCTTAATTTCAATTAACAATTCATTAATAGTTTTAGTTATTAACAATAACAATACTGTAATGGACAAAAAAAAACAAAAAATCATCACGCTTCTATTCACAGCCACAACCCCTACCACAGCTGGCCTCATCGCTGCCGTCCGCACAGTCTGCGTCTCCATCACAGACAAAGGATTCTGGGATGCAGCGGTTTTTATCGCAGCGATGACCGCAGCCCTCCTCTGGCTTGAAGCAGTCGACTTCATCCGAGCGTTCCTGACACTGAGCCACACCATCACACAATTGCCGTCGCTCGATGCACTTCTTACCATGTGCACACTGAAACTGACCTGAGAACAGACGGAAAAACAATGCTTTTATATTTTGCAAATTTTAAATAATAATAACAACAAATAATAATAATAATAATAATAATAAATTAGGCAGCCTAATAAATTGTTTTTTTATCTGGGTAATATGCACCATTGCACAAATGGCATGTTAACATTTGCTTTTCAAATCTAAAAAGTGGTTATCAGAAATTAACCAATTAATATGAGCACCAAGGCCAGAAATGAACAGGGGCTCAGGGAAATAAATACAACAAAAACAATAGTAGTAGTAGGAGTAGTAATATTATTATTATTATTATTATAAACAAAACGGGCTACATATGGAATACCTCTAATAAAAAAGGAGATATATTTTGTTATATTTTATTTTAGGCCTGTACACTAGAAAATATTGAGGCCTAAATTTAAGATTTATGTATTTGAATTGCATGTAAAAGTTCCATCCATTTGGATTACACTGTTTTAACGGACTAATAAACTTAATGAAGTATATTTGTTATTCATACAGGTAAGAGTTCTGTAATAGTACTAATAAACTGAATGCGTTTTAAATACACAATAACTATGTTTACAGTGGTTATAGAAAAGAATCACCCCCCTTTAAAATAATTACATTTTGTTGCTTTGCAGCCTGAAATGA